CGAAGAGCATAGCCATGTCATATCGTCTAAACCAATAGTTTATTTGTTAAATATATAACTGAAGTGTAAAATTTTAAAAGAATCACTGATTTGGACAAAGACTGGTTAAAGATAGCCATGGAAAAAACATCAGACAAAAACACCTCAATATAAAAATTTTTACATGCTTTAATAAAAGGAAAATGTAATCCTCGTTTTAAACTTTGTCCTTTAGTGTAATCCTTGAGTATTAGTTTATAATAATGTTGCTCATCAAAATTGATCATATTTATAAGGGAAAACAACTATATGACTCAAGGGCTAGGAGTATGAATTTTAAAAGAATTTTATAATGCATGACGAAAGGCAGTTATTTTTGAAATATTAATCGTGGGATTGATGTGGTAGAGAAAGACTGCCTCACATATAAAAGAATTTGTAAATACCCTCATAAAATCTATATCTTGATGAATGAGTCTGTATCTAGCTATCTAAATTTTATACCAAAGTAGACCTTCCTATATTTTTGTCACAAAAAATAATACAAATATAAAAAATTTGAGACTATTATATAAAAACAAACAAAAATTAAACATTCAATGTAATATTAATAACGATTCCTTTAAGATAATCTAATCTTAATTGATTTTCGAAATCGGAAACAATTGTTACTATTCTCGCATGTAGATTTCGATATTTTTTTCTCAAGGTAGAGGGTGTTTCACCAGAATTATATTGAGCAATTTTTAACTCTGTCAATCCTTGTTGTTTTTTTAAGCCTAGAATACAAATTATAAAGTTTATTAGTAAATCTTTATTTAAATCATTTTAAAATAATAGAAATATAAACTTGATATAAATTTTCACATATTTGGATGGTGACTTGTTAGGAGGGAACTGAAGCATATGCCACCCTTCAACGGCGTTGTTGGTTTTCGCTTCCCCGTTCAGAGTTAATTGGTAACAGTTCCATAGTTCAATATTAAACAAAGCAGGTATGCCTCTTCTAAATGTTTTACCAATGTAAGCATTTTCAAAAGTTTCAATTAGAGGCTGAAGTAACAATTGATTATTAGAATAAAGTTCGGAGTTTATTAGTAATTCAAATGTTTCAACTACATTTAATGGTGACGCAAATGCCAAGCAAACCATCATTCTAAGTTGTATATTAAATTCCACATCTGTTTTATATTTCTGGATATTTTTGAATGTTTCGCCAAAAGGATTGGCCAAGTGTTGTGAACTGGGAAACACTTCACTGAAAGCTTTTACACTGGCCATTTCTAAATTCGTCATAATTTTTTTTGGAGTTGATATTAAGTTGTCACCTATAATAGTAAATATTTTTTTATATGTTTCATAGTCTTTTTTATTGGTCAATATATATGAGAGGTAAAACATTATTATTTTTACCCATGAATTGTATAAATTTGCGTAAATAAAGGTGGCGACGATTTAAATGTACCATAAGAAAACCAATGTTCACATGAAGCTAAGAAGTCCAAATTTTTTCTTGTTCTAAATATGATAACACTGTCGGGAACCTAGCACACATGATAAATAAATAAGCAATTATAATAAAGTGTTTCTTATCGGGCAGCTTATCGCAATAAAAATGAAGGATTTAGTTATACTTTTTCAAAAAATTTGTAGAAAATCTTACCGGACCATCATGAAGTATATGAAATCCTTATCTGTAATTGAATATTCATGCGGAATAACCAGCTCGATAAGGCTACTAGGATTCGGAGGTGCAAAACTGTTTGAACTCCGCGTTCGATGAATTATACTTTTTATAAGAATCGGTGATGGTAGTGCCATTGATATGGAATCACTTAATTGAGATACGTGTTTTGCTACAATAAAGTTTGGAGTTTCCATAGTATTATTCAAAGCTTCATTCTTAATTGAATTGATTATTTTCTTGGTTTCTTCGATTGGATTTTCTGGATGATTGTGTATTTCTTTATTATCTTCTATCTTACCATTTTTTTTTGTAAATCGTATGGGACATTTTAATATATCTTGGTTAAGGCATCTGTAATAGTTTGTATTTGAGACTACTTTATCCAGGCGGAACAAATAATTTTTAAAGGTTAAGATCTCCTTATTTTTGCTTGATAACATATTTTATAAGACTCCGAAATAAGGAGGAAAGAATGGCGAAAATATTTTTAATTTATAACCAAGGGAGTGGCACCAGCCAGGCGAGAAATTTTTTTTTTTTTAATTTCGGCAATACTTTTTTTTAAATAGTTATAATTTATCAATGTCATTAATTATTTGTTAATCTTTAGTGTAGCTATTTTTTTATTATATTTTAAAATTATTTAAGCTTCAATAAGAACCCATATCAAAATATTATATTTAAAATAATTAAGATTCGTGCCGAGATATTATACTAAAATTTTTATCACGACCCCCCCCCCCCCGACTCTCTCCCCTATATTAAAAAGTGTGACGAGTAACAATGTAACCCATCCCTTTATTAGCTTTCTTTTGAGACTCCTATATATTATTTTATAAATATTTTATCCTCCCTCAACCAGACTCAGACTTGAAACAAAGTGACTATAAATTAAATAAGAAAAATTTAATCAGCTTTAATTTATTACTCTTATTTAAGAGTAAGTTTTTACAACCCACCCCCCACCTCCCCCCAAATCTTTTCCAAATAGATTAGCTAGATCAACGAACATAGGTGGATAATAGCTCAAAAAACATGTTATTTGCTTTCATTTGATGTCCTTGTCCAATATTTCATGTAATACGAAGAATTACATATTGGCTTAAAGCTTCAGAATTAGTACTTGACAAAGTTCTGGAAACTTTATGCTTTAGGCTACGTCTTAATATATGATTTAGATTCCTAATTAATTTTTTGAAAATATAACTAATATTTTATATCTAAATAAACAGAAAAGATAAAAAGATATCTATAAAAATCGTAAAATAATAAGATTAAAAAATATTTTGAATTGGGGAAATCCCTTATTTCACTTAGATGTAATTTATTTTTGGATTGTCATTCAAAATTGACACTCTAAACAGTAATGTTGTAGACTTTCAGCTACTCTGTTTATGATTAGTGACTGCCAAAACCATGGTTGTGCATTTGACCATTCAAATATGGTTAAAATCAAATAAATATTTTTTTATATTGAATATCATCATTTTCTTTAATATTTTATAATCAATTTTCTTGTTGTCTAAATGTTGAATCAATTTCTGTTTTATTAAGATTATTGACACAAATCGACTAATTTCTTTCTGAAGAAGAAATAGATCTAGGAATTGTTAGTAAAATGCCACTTCTCTTAAAGGCATAGTGGTCAAAGCTAATTCCACTCTTGAGATTGGAATCTGATTGCTTATGAAGTTACTGCTTTCCCCATGATTTTCTATTGACACTTTTATTTCTGAAATTTATGATATAACTTGAAATATTTTGATCACCACCTTGTATGCCTAATCCTTTTATTATATTACTACTTCATTAATAGGAACTCAATAAATAGCAGCATTGTGATAACATGTATTTATATCGTTTTTTCTTCTTCAAACATATTTTTATCTTCTGATCTTTTAGAATATTTGATCACATTTGACCAGGTCAAATATTCCTCCGTTCAACTGTCAAATTTATTCAATTGACTGACTTGACAACCCTGGCCAAAACTGATTGATAAATTGATAAATATTAAGTCATCAGACAATAAATATAAATGCTACCCAGATATCATTTTCGCCAGTAAATATCAAGATTTAACTAATAAACTCAATGATTAATATATTGATAAAGCTGAGTTCCTTGTGCGCTGTAATAAAATAAGAACTTCGAAGTAAAGGATAGGGCGAAAAAAGTATATTCCAATAACAAATTTTATAAACCAGATCTAAGTTTATTAATCATTATATAAATTTAAAGGTTAAAAGAAAATTACAAACTATCATTGAATCAATCTTCCACCTATTTTTTTAAAAAAATATTATACAAATAATATAATTATAAAAAAATGTTTCAAAATAAATTATTCATTATTAGCAATATCGCGATATTAAATTCGCTATAATATCTTCGCGATATATGTTCCGCGAAATAATTGTCGCTATATTGTCTTCGCGTTTGGGTTTTGCGATAATAACTTCGCTATAAATTTTCGCGATAAAAGTTTCGCGGTAATATATTCGCTTTAAAGGTTTCGCGATAAAGGTTTTGCTATAAAATTTTCGCGATTAAAGTTTCGCAGTAATGTATTCGCTTTAAAAGTTTCGCGATAAAGGTTTCGCTATAAAAAATTCGCGATATTGCATTCGCGGAATAGTATTTGATATTATGGATTCGCGATAAAAGTTTCGCTATAAAATCCATTCACGATAAACGACATTCGCGATAAAAGTTTCGCTGAATTGACATGGAACTAATTCATCTGATCTTAAATTTTCAGAATCAGATGATGATGATGAATAATATCCATGCTTATGCAATCTATTAAATTAAAATATAAACAAAATATTCAGATTAATAAACTATAATAATGGTATGTTAAAAAAATTGAAATGTGACGAACTTCAACGCGTTCGTTTCCAACACTACAAATTTCCCATCAACATTTGACTAATTATATTCTAAAATACTTTTAGAATTTTTATTTTGTTAATTAAATCAATATCAATTTTTTGAAAATGTTTGCATAACTAGTATAATTACATTATTTTTTGATATTCTAATGCAAAAGAAAATATCGAGTTCTTTAAGACTTTTCGTCAATAGGGAAATTTTTTTAGTCGATTTTTCACTAGTAGTTTAATAAGCATAAAATCAGTAATTACTTATTAACGAAAGCTTTTTAGGAAATTTTTTTGATATGCATTTTTCGCCTGCCCAACTTAACTATGCATCTGCCCCCCCCCCCTTAAGTAATTTCATTACTGTTTTAAAAATAATGTTTCTTTTAAAATTTAAAATTATTTATTGGATAAATTAAAATTGAATTAAAATGTTTTATATAATATAACAGAAAATTCCGCTGTAATTGAAACCCCCACTCTACTTCTAACTTCTGCCTTACCCTTGGAGGAAGTCGGAGACGAAAACTCATCTTCCACTCTAAGGTCCTCAGGGGGCTCTGTTTTTTCAGGTTAGAAAATAATTTAAATTTTATACCCTTTTTCAAGGACCCTAAACAATGATATTTTTGCGTTTTGTTTCTGTTCCGACCAAAAAAATATATTCTGTTCCACGTTTCGGAACCTTCGGGAATGAATTTCTAAAATAATATTTAATTTTATTAATATTCTTATATTATTCACTGAGCTTTATTTAATCAATTATTACATCCAAGGATTTATTAAAGATTATCGTTTATATGTATGCGGCGGTGTTAATATAAATTTGAGTGTTAAGCATCTTTCGACACCAACTTAAAACAAAATTACCCATTGCAATTTAAAGCTTTTATTATATAATTATTTACATAACAAAACAGTTAAAGTTTAATTCGCTTTAAGAAAATGTTTTTAACATTAAATAATGATTAATAAAATGTGAAGCAAACTGGAATAATAAAGAAAAACATTCCGGAATATGCCAGGAACTTTCTTTTTTTTGCTTCTGTTTTTATTTTAATATTACTGTGAATAATACAAACTGTCAGGCTTGTTAATTGATCCTTTTAAAAGATCGAATAGGATCGACCTTTTTTTTAAAGGATCACGATCTTTTTCTTATTTAAATTTCTGATCGATGCAAAATTACTTATATAAAAATTTATTAAATATGGTATAAATTTATTGTAATTGAATAATATAATATAAGTATAACAATTAGAATATATTTATTAAATATGGTATAAATTTATTGTAATTGAATAATATAATATAAGTATAACAATTAGAATATATTTATTAATAATTAAAATTACCCTTTATTAATAAAATTTCTAAATTATCATCATTTAAACAACCATGTTTTTCATTAAGTATATGTTTAGCTTTACTAAAAGCGCTTGATAGTAAAGGTGTGTTATATTCAATAAATGTTTTTTTTAAATTAACACAATTATTAAAAATTCATCATTAGAATTAAAAAAATTATTAATGGAAAAGCATTTTGTGACGAATTTTTCCCAAAAAAGGTATCGATTTCATCCATGCATTCATTTGAAGGATCTGCATGTGGTTGATCCTGTATATTTTCTAAATGGGCAATTTTATTTCTTTTAGCAACAAATTTTGTGATTAATAAAAGGCCTATTGAGCTTAACTTTGGGTGCCAATACATTACTGTCATCATATAGTGAAGGAAATCTATATTAATAAATGATAATTAATTTATTATTAAATAAATCATTCATATAAATCAGGTATCTGCAAAAGTTAGCCCTTTCAAATTTTACAGTCAGGTCTGACCAATCATCTGTATAATATTGTAAATTTAATGATTTCTAATGCCTATTATGGCCCATTAAAATTTTACCAGATATTAGAGGTTTAGTAAACCAGGCCTGTTAAAAATATTTTACTAAATTTGCCAGATCATGGCAATTTTTTAATAAATTTTGCAGATATCTGATATAAAAGGGTCATATAGGTTATCTTAAAAATTCAAGTTTACAATCGTCTACGTTAAAAGCTGTCCAAGATGATATGGGCAAAAAATTTTGAGAAAATGTTTTCCTATGATATGAATATAATGAGGCTTTTTTTAGCATAAAACTTATAAATAAAGGGTTCAACACAAATTTTGTTAAATATATGAAGTATATTATTTATATGTGTTAAAAGGTTTTAAATATTAAAAATTAATTTCAACTCTCATTAAAAATACTAGTCTTCCATATCCATGCTATGAATGGGCTAATATTAATAATATTATTAAAATTCCTGATTATAAAATTAATTATTGTAAATATTTTATTAATTATTGTAAATAATTATTCTTAGATGCATATTGCAGTGGCGTATCCAGGATTTTCTTATAGGGTGGGGGGGGGGGTGAATTTTTTGGGGGCTTCGCCTCCAAACCCCTTTTAGGCCGGGTCTTATGTTTTAGCTATTCTATTAAATTATTCATAATTTAATAATAAATTATATTTCTATTTTTAACTATTATTTACTAATTCGTGCTTATGGATATTACAAGCCTATTTTTTATTATTTCAAGTTAGGTATATTATATTTAATAAAGTTTTTTTAAATGTAAAGTTGAAATAAAGTGTAATGTCATTTTTTTTATAAAATTTGCTTTAAAAACTAGCATCAGCTTAAATTCTCATACAATACAAGTAGAATATAATTTTTTTATTGAAAATACTAATAAGTGTGTATAAAATATTGACTAGAAAATAATTAAATTAACAAGTTTTTTTTTTAACCTCTTATCAAATACAATATTATACAAAATATTTTCTATAATTATAAAGTGATTTTTATTTTTCGTGAGAATTTTGCCAATTCATCAAGAATTTCGTTTATCGTTGGAACCAAATCTCTGTGGATATTTAACAGAGCTAACCCATTTAGCCGAGATTCGGTACTTCGTAAATATGTTTTAACCTTCTCAAGTTGGAAAAAGTCCTTTCATTCGTACATGTTGTAATAGGCAAACATGCATGAATATAAAACAACTTCAAAATATTAGGAAATTGAGCCACGGTTTCTTTACACCGATTGAGCGCATCAATAGCATGCTCAGGTAAAATAGCTAAACGTAGTAAATATTTATACCACAATTCGAATTCACTGATTAAATTTATTTCAGTATCAATCTCATAGGAATAAAATTTTGCTAAATATTTAATTTTACCAAAGTGACATTAGAAAACGAAGGATCTTTGAGTAATAAAACTTGAAGATTGCTAAAGACTTGTTTTTTTATCTAAAAACCGTACTTTTATTTGCGATAAAAAAGTATCTAAGAATGGGATGAAAATTGATATTTTATAATATTCTTCAGTTGAGCCAATATTTATTTTCATCTCAATAATGGCCTAGGTGTTAGACGAGGTTTAATTAGTGTTATATCATAAAATTTAGCCTTCGATTCAACTTTTAGATTCATTCTTATTGTATCTACCTGTTCATGTATATTTTCCGCCAAATCTATAACCTGAACCAAATCTAAATTTGTTTTTTGTAAATTTATACAAAGTAGTGAGCTAACAATAATTTATTGATGCAACTAGCAGCAATGATAAACTGATTGATCAATTGAATTCAATAATGATATCGCTTCTGACGACACATTACTTTTTTTCATGCTTAGCCTTATTTAACTTTTGTATTTCTATTTCTTCTGTTCTACAAAATGGAAGTAAAAATGAAAAATATTTAAAAAATTATAGATATATATTAATAATTAAAATATTAATAAAAAAACTTATTTAATCTAACTCACTATTAATTTTGAATTTAATAAAATAAATATATATAATAATAAAATAAATTATCGTTTGATTTCAATCTCTTTGACTAAATATTTTTCCATTTTATTAATATTTTTGAATAATATGTTGGAAAATTGATATTCATATATTTGTAAATTTTTGAATGGGGGGGGGGGGGCAAATAGTTGTAAAATTTTGATTGGGGGGGGGGGGTAAAATTTTTATTAGCTTAAAATGGTATTTATGAAAATAGTCAAATTTGCGATCGGGGGATTCCCCCCCCCCATTAATTACTCGCTTGGCATATTGTTATTATGCTCTTCATAAATAATAAAAATTGTATTTTTAAAAGAATTATTACTTGTAAATGTCTCTTTAGGTTTGATCTACTAATCTTTGAAGAAGATATTTTTTGCATAAAGAGCATTTTGCATAGATTATTGTATGGTTACCTCCGTCCGTTTCACATAAAGTAAAATACTTACGTAAATTATGAAATGGTAAAAGATTCTCATTCTCACTTATATCTGCTCGCACTTCAATAGAAGTAGATGTATTATCTTATAAATCTATAATGGAGGACATTATTAAAACCTAGAATTTATTTATATATAATATAATTAAATTAAATAAAAATTTGTAGTTGTAGGCTCTAAATCTCGTACAAAAAATTTGGGAAATTGTTGAAATATGGTGGAATGGTGGTTAATAAAATATGATGTAGATAGATATTTTTTTAAAAAATAATATTTTAATTTAATTTTCAAAATTTTTATTTTATTTATTGCTTTTTAAGTAAAAAAATAATTTTTTATTGACAAATTTAGGATCGAATCCAGGATCGGCTAACAACTCTGGAAAGTGACATATTAATTCTAACGCATGTTTTTCTTTCAACTCTTATTAGAATAATGTTGCATAATTGAACTCAAATTTTATTAATGATCAAAAATAAAAATCCGATCTCTATGTGAGCTCTATTGCGCCATGATTTTTCCTATGATGAGAGCCGTTTCTCTTCCTGAAGATTTTGTTTAATCAATAACCTAATATTTTACTAAATATTATCAACCTCATCGATGAAGATTAATTTTTCCTTAATATATACTACATCTACAAACCAATTCGCTTATTCTTTGCGAATTCTGATATTTGATTCGGTATTTTCTCTAACTGAAGGTAGTGATACTTTTTTAAAGCTATATCTAAATCCTGATATTAACCTTGATACCGTATTTTTTTATATTTCTACATCATATCTTTCTTTAACAATTTACTATGTATTCTTTGTTCTTGTTTTACACGTGAACCTCATTTCGATAAACTATATTTTATTCCATTTTTAAGATGGGAGTATTTAATATTTGTCACTGTTTTATAGCTTACTTTAAAACATGATGCTTTTTGATACTATCCTTTTTTAACTCTTCACTTATTAGAGCTTTTGTTTTATTGTTAATGTTTTTACCATATCATCATGATAACAAAAAAAAAATCTTTTTGAGATATATACTCAACAAATGGAATGAATAACAAGACTAATCCTTTAGATTATAACATTTACCTCATTTTTACGTTTAATTATTCTTAATTCAAAGAATATAGTATTAAAAATAATTAAAAAAATTTTTTTTACTTGCTCAAAAGTATTGAATGCTTCCTGCATAAATATTTAATATTTTAAAAATAATAATTTAAATATGATTATATTTTATTAATTTACATATCGTTTGGTATTATAGTTCAAACTTATT